GAAGACCAACTTGCTGATGCCTTGACCAAGAATGTTCCCTTCAGCGGAATCGAGAAATTCAGGTCTTCGGTTGGCATGATGAGATACTCGACATCTTGAACAAGTGGGAGTGTTGAACTTCCGAGTTTTCAGTGTTCTTATCTTATCAGTTATGTACGGATATGGACTTATGTTCTGCGATGTCAGATTACATACGTTCTTTGATGGACTTTGCCTAGATTACGTCATGTGACTTTAGTCCGGATCATTCCATGATATTCCACGACATTCCTTGATGTTCCATGACGTTCCATATCATTCCTTGATGTCCCATCACGTACTATATCACTCTTTGATGTTCCATCATGTCTCATATTATTCCTGATGTTCCATCACGTTTCATATATCTCTCCACATCAAACTCCGAGTTTTGGCTTACTCATGCTGCTTACCAGCTTACTCATATCCCCAAAACCTCGGACTTAGTGCTTACTGATGAACCACTGATACAGCATGTGACCTGTATCAAATGTGTATATATACTGGGCTGGTTTGCCCTGTAATGATAACGATCCTTCGTCCTCTCCTCTGCCTGCCAGCATAGGATCTTCCCTTTGGGACTGGTCTGTTCACTCACTCATTAGTCCTTCACTGCCACTGGGCTTACTAAGCCTAAAACCTCTTTCTTCAACAATGACCACTCCCACTCTCCTGGACACCAAGCATCTCTACGTCTCCGTGACCAATCCCACCGATCGTCCGCACATTATTCGCGAAGGAGAAGTGTTAGGCCTTTTGCATTCCCCGTCGGACTACTTCGCGTCAGCCACTCCCGAACTCCTTGCTCACGCTTCCTCCGTCAAAACCATGATCCAGGACGCGGCGGAGCAACAAGCACCGACAGCTGAATCTTCCACGAAAGCAGACGACACGGATGATCAATGGGGCCCTAAAACAGCAGAAGTCCCGGATCCCGAAACCTACCCGTCCAGTGAGCTCGAGAACATGCTCGACATCGGTCCCGAATGGCCCGCCGCTCAGAAGGACCACCTGCTACGGATGTTGCGAGCTAACCAAGCGGCTTTCGCTTTCGACGGACGGCTGGGACAGAATCCTACGGAGGTAGAGATCAAGACGCATCCCGATGCGAAGCCTATATCACTGCCCATGTATACCGCGTCACCCGCCAAACGAGAAGTCATAGACACACAACATGAGGCATGGTTGAATCTCGACGTCATCGAGCCGTCCAATAGCCCGTGGGGGGCTCCCGTTCTGATAGCCTACAGAAATGGGAAACCCAGGTTATGTGTCGACTACCGCCGTCTGAACGCTATCACCGTACCAGACGAATTTCCTATTCCTAGGCAAAGCGAAATACTGCAAGCTCTCTCGGGGGCCCAAGTGCTCACCTCATTGGACGCCCTATCCGGTTTCACGCAGCTACTAGTAGCTGAAAACGATCGGGAAAAGACGGCCTTTCGTACTCATCGCGGGTTATTCCAATTCAAACGCTTGCCCTTCGGATTGCGCAACGGTCCGTCGGCCTTCCAGAGGGTCATGCAAGGAGTGCTCGCCCCTTATCTCTGGCTTTTCACACTGGTGTACATCGACGATATCGTCGTGTACTCTCGGTCGTGGGATGAGCACGTCGGTCACTTGGACAAGGTCCTCAAGGCAGTTATTGCGTCAGGAATCACACTCTCCCCCCCCAAATGTCACTTTGGGTACACCTCAATCCTCCTACTGGGTCAGAAGGTATCGCGGCTGGGGTTTTCGACGCATCAGGAGAAAGTCCGCGCAGTAATGGAACTGGCCCGTCCAAAGCGAGTTTCGGAGTTGCAGACCTTCCTGGGAATGACGGTCTATTTCTCAGCGTACATTCCGTATTACTCCTTCATCGTCTCCCCTCTGTTTGAGCTGCTCAAGAAGGACCACAAGTGGGACTGGACCGCCGAGTGTGAAGTGGCCTGGCAGCGTGCGAAGGATACTTTACAAACCGCACCTGTCTTGGCTCATGCAATAGCCGGACTACCCTACCGCCTGTATACGGACGCTTCTGATATCGCGTTAGGAGCCTGCCTCCAGCAAGTCCAACCCATTCGAGTCGCGGACCTTAAGGGGACCAGGGCCTACGACCGCCTAGCCAAAGCATTTTCCGAGGGCGCTCCCGCTCCGAGCTTAATCACTCGAGTATCCCAGAAGTTTGACGACAAACCTCCTCCCGCGGAATGGGCTCGCACATTTGACGATACTACCGTCCATGTCGAGCGCGTAATCGCATATTGGAGTCGATCATGCAAACCCGCAGAGCGCAATTATTCCGCGACTGAACGAGAAGCACTAGCCGCTAAAGATGGTTTGGTCCGGTTCCAACCTTTCATCGAGGGGGAACAAGTTACACTGGTCACGGATCACGCCGCTCTTCAATGGGCTCGCACGTACGAAAACACGAACCGACGACTAGCCGCGTGGGGGGCAGTATTCGCCGCCTACTTGCCTAATCTTGACATTGTTCATAGAGCGGGTCGAGTACACTCAAACGTCGATCCTTTGTCACGACTCCCGCGAGAACCCCCGGCCCACGATTCGCCAGTCATTGATCTTTCAATCCCAATTATCACGGACCAAGTCAAGCCGGCAGCCGCGGAAGTAGCCGCTGAACGATCGCCAGCCGTCAAGATGGCCGCTGCGGCCGCTATTATCAACAACTGGGAAGACATTCTGGATGCATCCCCGGCGTCGACACCCTTCTGCAACCAAACGCACGATGACTCCGGCCTCAGCGTGGGGGGCGCGTACCAAGAGGAGTCTCAGAGCATGATCGAATTACCGATCTGCTCAAGTGAAAACTCTGACGCTGATCACCTAGTCAATGTGAACGCGGGAGAAGGACCTCCCCGTATCACCCTGGACAAGTCAGCAGTCCCAGTATCGACGAGATTCAAAGGACAACGTCGCCCTCAAGTCTTCACAAAACGAACGCGCCCGAAATTGTCGCCAACCAGCACTCCGATTCCAGAACCAGTCCATCACGAGGAACACGATGTCCGCGATCCCTACGAGCCGAAAGACGACCTATCAACTCCCACGGCTCTCATCGAACTCAGCAAGGAGTATCGCAACAAGTTCGTGGAAGGATACGCGGAGGACGAATTCTTCAAGACTAAGTGGAAAAGGGCATCGGAACCAGGATTGGAAAAGTTCGCCGGACAGTGTTTCTTCACGGACTCTTCGGGTCTGCTCTACATGCGAACCGGTTCGGATCCTGCCCGACTCTGCGTCCCCCGGAAGGAAGTCTTCCCTCTTATTGCTCGTCTACACGACTCTCCATACGAATCGGCCCACGAAGGTCCCGCGAAGCTCGCTCTACGTATCAACTCTAGGTTCTTCTGGCCAACTCTACGAAAGGATGTAAGGGACTACGCTATGTCGTGTGACATCTGCCAGAAGACCAAAGTCGACCGTAGGGCAAAGGCCGGACTACTTCGCCCTAACCCGGTGCCCGACAGACCTTTCGAATGGATTTCCTTCGACCTCATCACCGGACTACCCAATTCCGATGGTTTCGACGCGGCGTTCGTGGTTGTAGACCGCTGCTCGAAGTTCGGTCTATTCATCCCTTGCAACGGGACTCTTAACACTGTCGACTTCGCTCATCTGTTCATATTGAATGTCATCTTCCGGTTCGGCATCCCAGATCACATCATCAGTGATCGCGACGGACGATGGATATCCGAATTCTGGAGAGCCGTGGCTGAGGAACTGGACATACACCTATGCTTGTCATCATCCCACCATCCTCAACACGACGGACAAACCGAAATCGTGAATCAAAGGTTAGAAACTATGCTGAGAGCGTACGTGCAAGGGGACCGGCAAGGATGGGCCAAATGGCTTCCCGCCCTAGCTCACGCTTACAACTCCTCGATCCACTCGGCTACGGGCTATTCGCCCTACTTCCTTCTCTACGGATTCGAACCGAAGGGCACTATGGACTTCATCGGACATACCAACCGCTACGAGCAACGCCCTTTGCTCGTTAGCGAGAAAGCCACCGAATTTGTGATGAACATGGAGCTCCATCGACAAAGAGCACGAGACGCCATAGCCATGGCCCAAGAACAATCTGCCCGCCAATACAATGAGGGTCGGCGGGTGGAGACCTTCCCCGTGGGCACTCGCGTACTCGTCAACCCTCATTCCCTGGAACTAGTTGACGTGAAAGGCACTGGCAAGAAGCTGGTACAGCGCATGTTGGGCCCTTTCGCCGTCATCGAGCAAGTCAACCCTTTAGTGTACCGACTCGCTATGCCCAGTACTTATCCCATGAATCCCGTCATCAACATCGAGCACCTACGAAGATATCGCGAACCGGATCTAATTTCCACCGACGTGAGGCGTCCGATCTTACCGGACCCTCGTAACTCCGAACTTCTTGCCATCGAAGAATACGAAGTTGAGTCCATTGTGTCGTGGAGAAGAAACAAGTACCGGAGCAACCGCTTAGAATTCCTGGTTCGATGGAAGGGGTTCAGTCCCATCCATGACACTTGGGAGCCAGCCGCTCACCTCCGCAACGCGCACGAAATCCTCAAGGAATACCGAGATCGTCACGACCTAATCAGGTGAACGCCCGGGAACACCCCCTCTCCTTTGTTAGATAGTGTACCCCATGGTAGTAATAGTAAATAATGTGCCCTAGATAGTCGGGATCATAGAATCTCCCATTTTAGATTAGTATAGCCTCTCACCCCGGAAGACTAACGGAGCGCTGTTTGGAACGCGACGCGAATCGCGCTTCACTCGAACACGTGACCGTGCCACGGAGGCTTCGGCGCTTGGACCCCCGCGCATCTCTCGAGCGCCCTCCTCCCTCGCTTTCTCTCCACCCAACCATTCGGCGAGTGTTCGAGCCACCGAACCTCAGCCTTCCTCCACGAACGTTCGAGGTACCGAACTTCGTGTCTCTCTTGTCTACCCTCGCGCGAGCGTTCGAATCCGAACCCCACGTGTACGGGATGGTCGACCTCACCCGTTCAAACTCGGTCTCCCCCCGCTTTCGCTCCACTCTCTGGTTCCCGCAACACTACGAGGCCCTTCCTCCTCGACCGGAATCTCGAGACTCAGCTTGGAAGCTCTACCGAGCCCACCGAGTCGTCCGGGTCGCCGCCTCGCTAGGTAACGGCGACTACGCAGTGACTCCGAACGCGGACTTCATCCCGCCGTTCCCTCCCGGCCCTTCAGATAGGGAGGACGTGTTCTCCGACGGACGACGCGGCAAGTTTGAGCCAGGATACCACCCTCAAGCCTGGAACACTTCCAGGGGACACTGGCCCTTCATGTTCGAGGTGCCCGACGGTGACGAAGGCGCGGACCCCGCCTACGTCACACTGGAGTTCACGAAGAAAGGAACGGGCACCTTCCACGTTCACAATCAGCAGACGGGAAAGGGATCCCCGACGGCGACCTTTGCTCAGGCCTTGCAGGTCCTCTACGACGCGGAGGTGACGCGCGCCGAATCGTTCTTCGCGCGGGATAGCAACCCGCCCCAATCTTTAGTCTTGCGCCCGGCTGCCGTTCGAGAGGCGCTCTACCAGTTCCCCGTTGAACTAACGGATCTTTTCTCCGCTCGGAAGAAAGCCGCCCTCATCCAACACCACCTTAGGGAACTTCGCGCCTACTCCTACCACGCTTACCTACAGGAGTCACTAGAAAATGGCAAGATGTCCTTCCCCAGCGCCGAGACGATGGGAGTAGGATGTTGGATCCGGGAGGGAAATGAGGAACTCCTCAAGAGCCTGTCCTGGTTCGGCATTCGAGTATGGTACGTGCGTCGATCACCGGTCCCCTTCCCTAGCTCCCTGCGACCAGTACGAGGACTCGACCCTCGCTTATCAAGGGAAGGTTGGGACGAAGAGATTCACGACCACAAGCCATACGTGGGGAAGCGAGGAAGGAAACGTCTTGCAGAAATCGAGGCAGAGCTTCGCGCCGATGAGGACTCCGACTTCGACTGGGACGACCCCGAAGATCTACCTGTCCCTTCCAATCCTCCCTTCATCCCGGGCCCTTCCAAGCCCCTCAAGCGCGCGGCGGCGGCTCTGGTCGCCTCGTTCGTACCATCCATCCCATCCTTCCCGGACCCGGATGAAGAAGGGTGGAATAACAGCCCGGCCGTCGAACCAGCCGCCCCGTCCTCCCCTCCTCGGCCTTCGTCGCCGGTTCGTCAACGAGAAAGCAAAACCCCGCCCCGCCGGGTCGACTCTCCAATGGCCATTTCGCCCCCACGCTCCGGGAACACTAACGAGCCGCTCGCATCAACGTCGCACTCGGGAGCGGCCATTCCCCGATTGAGAATCGACAAGGGTAAGAGCCGAGCTCTCTCTCCCCCTCGCCGTACGCACTCTCCCCATCTTTGTCGCTCGCCCCCTTCATCTCACCATCGTCGCCGACCCCCGTCTCCTATGACGCGCTTTCCCCGCCGCTCCCCTCGATCCTGCTCCCCGAGGGAGAGAAGACAATACGAGCGACCGCGCGGTCGTCAGCCGTCGCCTCGTCAAATCTCTTCCCCGTCACGCCGCGAGCCGCGCGTCCTATCACGCTCGCCTCCTCCGTATCGACGAGAGTACGGCGGCGCTTACCGGCAGGTCCACGACGTCAACCCGGGTCGTTCCCTGGTCAGACCCCGGCGAGCAAGCCCAACCTTCCGTCGACGTTCGCGAAGTCCCGCGTCGTCGACCGGTTGCCCCCCGGTCAACCGAGGCCGGTCACCCCTACGGCCCCCTGCCTCGCCGCCCCGCGTGCTCAGAGAAACGCACGAAGAACGTCAGTCGCTCGTCGATCGGATCGCCCCTGAGGCTCCTAGGCAAAGTCCATCAAAGAACGTATGTAATCTGACATCGCAGAATATAAGTCCATATCCGTACATAACTGATAAGATAAGAACACTGAAAACTCGGAAGTTCAACAGAGAGCGGGATCGCTTATGTAACGTGAAGGAACGGTGATGGTGTATGTGTACGGAAAGTTCGTGTAGCGGTAATGTCCAATGTAATAGTAATGTACTGTAGTAACCGTAGGGAGGCGGTTACACTCCTCCCCACTTTAAAGCAAGAACACGGTGAAAAAAAAACAAACAAGGGACGTACGAGAGATCAAGAACCAGGAAGAGAACGGAGGAAGGTATCCAATGCAGCCAGGTCTTCGCACTCCTTGCCAGGGAGCCAAGACCCAGCCGACTCCGGGTAACCACGCCAGGTCACGAAGTATTGCCAGCCTCGACCACGCCGTCTCCGATCGGTTATAGCCTCGACCTCGAATTCCTCTTCGCCATTCGTCGTGACTACAGGCCCGGGCCGCGCGTGTTCGCGAGACGGGAAGAGGGAAGAGTCGTTGTCGTGGAAAGGTTTCAACAGTGAGGCGTGGAAGGTCGGGAAAATCTGCATGTGAGACGGCAAGTCCAAGGTGTAGACAGACGATTCTGGATGTGCGTGCAAGACCTTGTAGGGGCCATCCCAGCGCACCATGAACTTAGCAACGCGGTGGTCTCCACGTTGCATGTACTCGCGTCGGCGATGGAAAGTGGAGAGCATAACACGGTCGCCAACCGCGTATGCGATCTCCGCTCCTCGATGTGCGTTCGCCATCAAGGCCTGGTGCACCTTCGCGAGAAACAGATTATCTTGCGCTTCCATCACGTCAGTTTCGATAGAACGGATGACGTCGGCAGCTGCGCGCGCCACGGAAGCGTCATCGCAAGCCGTACGTATATTGTCGTCCAGCAAGGGAGGGATAACACGCGGAGACCGGCCGTGCAGTAGCTGGAATGGTGAGAAACCCGTGGAAGCGTTCGTCGTGTTCATGATGGCGAAGTGCACGCGCGGTAGTGCGCGAACCCAACCTTTCTGGTTGCGTCCGACGTGGTATCGCAAGGCCTGGATGACGGTCTTGTTGGAACGCTCGGACGCGCCATCGGTCTGAGGGTGAAACACAGTTGACATCTTCCACTTGACGCCAGCGAGGCGTTGGAGAGTTTGCCAGAACCTCGACGTGAAGATCTTGTCGCGGTCACTCGTGACGACCTTGGAGAGCCCATTCTCGCAGTACCAGGCGTCGAAATACTGTGCCGCGAACTTCTCCCCATCCACGTTCATCGTCGTAGGGATGAGACGCAAGTCGGATCCCATGCGATCTGTCACTGTGGCCAGGCAGTCAAAACCCTCGTCCAAAGGGAGAGGACCAATGAAGTCAATGGTAACTTCTTCTCCACGTCCATCGGGCACTGGCAGCGGATGCAGAGGCCCGGGCGCTTTGCGAGTCGAGGACTTGTTACGTTGACACTCCTCACAGGAGGGTATGTACATGTCCTCGAAGTCGCATCGCATATTCGGCCAGTAATATGCATCTCGCAAGACCGCATACCCCTTGTCAAAGCCGAAATGCCCCAGCGCATCATGGGCCAGGCGGTAGAGTGACTCGCGGATGTCAGGGATACGAGGAATGATCAAACGATCTGCCAGGAAGAGCAGACCGTCGCGCTCCGTAACACCCAGCGAGCCCACCATGCCCTTCAGCTTGGCTGCCCACTTGTCCGAAGTGTACCCTTCACGGATGCGCGTAAGCAAACCCACGTCGGTTGTCACTGACAACGACACTGCGGCGACAGTGTCAGTGTCAGCGTCCCTAGACCCTGTTGCGGTGCGGAGACAACGGGTGGCATCCCGGAAGTCCGCAACCGCGGCACAGGTGGACACGTCGACAAGCGAATCATCGGGGCAACGCGAGAGAACATCGGCCGCGACGTTCAGCTCGCCCTTGATATACTGGATCGTGAAGTCATACTGGGCAAGGAACTCCTGCCAACATGCCTGTCGCTGCGAGAGGTCACGCTGACGTCCGAAGTTCTCGAGCGTTCGATGATCCGTGAAGACCGTGAAGGGCGCACCAATGAGTTCAACCCGCCATTTTTTAAGAGCGCGGACGATAGCAAGCAGCTCCTTTTCATGCACCGGGTAGTTGAGCTCGGCCCCTTTTAGTGAGCATGAGTCAAAGGCGACTGGACGGGTGGTCTCCAAGGTAGGGCCAAAGCTGAGCATGGCCCCAGTACGAAAGTCACTAGCATCGCAGGAGACAAAGATGCGGTTAGTGTCGAGCGCGGAGTGATCAATCACCGTCAGGACCTCGCGACTGCAGACAAGAGCTTTGATACCATCGAATGCGGCCTGGTGTGCGTCCGTCCAAGCGGGGAAGGCTTTGTCCGCGTCCTTCGTCGTCAGGGGGTCCAGTACTTGGGTGTGTTCGGCCAGACGAGGAAGGAAGTTGGCGACATACCGGACCAGTCCGAGGAAGGAGCGGACGTGAGATGCAGTCGATGGAACAGGCCAGGCGAGGATTTTGTCAACTTTGGATTTATCCGCTTCGACACCGGCGGCGGAGATATGGTGACCTAGGAAGTCGACATCAAGAAGGAACAAGCTGGTTTTCTTGTCCGAACACACAAGCGCATGGTCGCATAGTGCCTGCAACACCAGATGCACATGCTCTCGGTGTTGGTCGACGTCATCAGACCAGATTATAATGTCATCGAGGTATACATGGCAGAACTTGCCGATGTACTTCCGCAACGCCGTGAACATGCGACGCTGATGTGTTGCCGGCGCGTTGTGGCAGCCCTGCGGCATGACCGTCCACTCGTACAGCCCCCAGGGGGTGGTAATGGCGCTATACTTGATGTGATCTGGATGGACACGCGTCTGGAAGAAGGCATTCGTCATGTCGATCTTTCCCCAGATTTTCCCCTTCCCACAGTCCGAGAGGATATCCGCAATCTTCGGCAGCGGATGACTGTCCGGCACGGTGTTCTCGTTCAAGACGCGGTAATTGTTGACCCATCGAGGTTCTGCGGTGGGATCGGCCTTGGGAATTAGAAAGCAGGGGGATGCGTAAGGACTGTTTGACGGACGGAGACGACCAGCATCGAGGTGGTCCTGGAGCATCTTCCTCCAAACGTCACGATAGCGCTTGGGACAGTCATACTGTCGCCGACGTATGGCCAACTCGGGCTGCTTGAGCTCAAAGCAGTGGTACACGTCGGTGGGTAGCCGCGTGACAGCAGGTAAGGAGGAAGGAAACAAATCAGCGAACTCACGCTTCATCGACTCGTTCTCGCGTAGGAGCTGCTCGTGACGAGCGACAGCCTCCAAATGTTCACGGACAGCGAGAACGGCCGGAATGCGTGGCGGAATGTTCGCATCGATGTTGTCTCGCCGATTTCGTGTTCGCTCCAAAAGCTCGTCCAATACGTGACGCTGCGATGAACGTAAGGCGGAATGTGAGCGGTCAACAGCGGTTGGTACGGGATGCTTCCGAATGTCGAAGCCGGTGCTTGCAACAGTCACAGCGTCGGAGGCGTGATCAACGATAAGTTTATTGCCTTTTAGGAATGGACGGCCGAGGATGACAGGAGCGAATAGCGAGGGGACGATGATGGCTTGGCAGACAACGGAGGACCATGTAGAGTCAGGAGAGGAGACTCGCAAACGTACGTACTCCTCACACGACACTCTCCCCTCTCCCCAAGCGTTGCCCATCGGGTAAGGGCGCGGCAGTTTTCGACGACGAAGTTTCAGACGGGATACGACATCGTCTCTAATCAGAACTGTGGGCGAACCCGAGTCGATTAGCAAGGGCATAGGGGAAGTGATTTCAGAGGGGGAGTGGACAATGGCGGTGAAGGAGATATGCGGCACGCTCAAAGGAGCGACGTACTGGAAGTTATCGGTGTCGGACCCAGAGTCCTCACCGACGCTCCCGGAGACACCCGCAGCCAGATCAGCGACAGCGGCGACGACGGAGGAGGACGGTGCAGAGTCCGAGACGTCTAGATCCTCGACGGCAGCGACCGTAGAGGACTTGTTCTCCTTGTCGCGGCGAACCCGAGCGGCGTCGACGTCGGCCATTGTGAGGGTGCGATAGGTAGAGCCGTCAGGCGGACCGGTCTTGCAGGAACCGGTGCGACACTTGACGAAGAAGTGGCGGCACTTGAAGCACCCACCGAACTTCTTCAACAGCTCCTTCTCCTCGTCCGTAAGTGCGGGAGGATGATTCTTCTTGACTGTAGAACCCGTCGCGGCCGTAGCAGTCGAGGATCCAGCTGAAGAATTGTAGACCTTAGAAGACTTGGAAGCTGCATGCGCGTTGATAAGGCGTAACATGCGCAGGCGATCACGGACACGGGTGATGTTGCGGGTGGACATAGTCGCCTTCCAGTCCTCGTAATCCGTGACGGCGATGGTCGTAGGCTCGGCAGCGAAATCGCGCAGATCTTCTACGGCGTTGGCAGTGAGGTGAGAGCGCAAGCGAGAGTCGGTGAACACCGAGGTAGAGCCGCGGAGCAAGACGTTAATCTTCTCCACTTGATCGACCCAGTCGTCGAAAGCTTGCTCTTCGCGCTGGCGGCAATTGAGGAGTTTAACCTCGGTGGTGGCGATCCAGTTGCGCGGTAGGAATTGCTTGCGAAGTGCCGCGATGAATTCAGGCCACTTCAGCGTGTCGAGCTTCTCGTGGTTGACCGCATACCAATCCGAGACGGAGAGGTCCTGGAAACCACAAGACGCCTTCATGATCTTGTCGGCATCCGCGGTGATGCCCCGCTCGCGAAAGTAGCGGAAACAAGCAGTATCCCACTGCTGAATGACCTCGGGCGAAAGCTTACCCGGGGTGAGAAGCGGGACCTGTTTGATTGCGGTGTGTGAAACCGAGGCGATGGTCGGGTCGGGCGGAGGCATCTTGGTGACTATATGCGCGTCAATCTCGGAGTCGGATGAATCTGAGGACACGCCGAGGTCGACTTGAGGCGTTCCTGGCCTGGTAGAGATCGGGGAAGACGGAAGAGACGAGAGGATAGAAGAGAAGTTGTCCGGGTATTCGAACTCTAGTTCGTCTTCGACCGGCAGGGGGATCGAAGCAGGATTGACGGGAGGTCCTTGTGAGCGCAGGTGAGGCGGCAGCGTGACGAAGCGAGGGATCTGGCAGACTGGATGGAGGCGGGAGACAAGATACCGGCGGCTACAGTAGTGCACGCGGTCAGGAACCCGACGGCTTCGCAAGCGCGCGGGACGGTAGGGTAGCAGGGATGCGCTGTCCGAGCTCGGAGAGAGATGATAGGTACGCGACCCAACGAATCCTCGTGTTCCGTAACGAGGAGTAGACGACCGTTCGATGTTCAAAAAAAAAGTGTAAGCCCGACGTCCGCACGTCGGGTAATCACTCAGAAGACAGAACAGGAACAGAGCATCTTCGTTGCGCAATAGTAAAGACTCGTAAGTACAGAATGTTATGATGTAATAAGAGACATACCTTCGTTGCGCAATAGTAAAGA